CTCATTGTGCTGGAGGAAGGTTCTGGAGTTCAACTGCTGATCGGACTACGCATGCGTGGGTGTTTCCAGTCAACCCTGAGCCGGTGAGATTTGAACAGCCGAACTGCAGAACTGCAGTCAGCTGAAGTAGCCTGCAGTGCTGCATTTAACCACTGCGCCACCTTGGCTCAAATTTGGGTTTGGGTCAATTTTTGCCCGAACCGGTAGTAACAATGCTACCGGTTTGCCTGAACTGGTAGTAAAAAGACCCTTTTAAAAAGTTTTTTAAGAAAAACTGTTCCAATGATCAGTTGCGACAGTCAGTGGGAGTCAGAACTTTTTAAAAACTTTTGAAAGCATTTTTTAACGACCTATTTGCCCAAACCGATAGTAAAAAAAAAAGGCTTTAAAAAAGATTTTTTAAAAGTTCCCACGATCGCGCGACGCAGCTGATTGTCGCAGCTGATCGCGTGTGAGATTGTGTGCGAGTCAGTTGTGTACATAGCTCTTGTGTTATTTTTGTGTAAAGTGTGATAGCTTGTTTTTGAGCTCCCTCTGACTCTGTGTGGTTCCCGCTTGTCGCGCCAAGCCACCCCCACCCGGTCACATGACCACCAAGCCACGCCCCCCCAAGCCACGCCTACAGAAGCGGTAGGGGAAATGTTTGAATCTCACCACTGCCTTCAAGATGCAAACCCCCCCTCCTTACCTGACTAAAAGGTGGGAATCTACTGTGTCCTGGTGGGCTTGGGACGTGCACCCCCTCAAAGGGCTGGCACCCCTCTGTCCTGACGCGCTACATTTCCCACTGGATGGAGCCAGCGATCCCTGCCTCGGCGGGGTAGCCGTCCCAGACCTCTTGGTGGGAGGGACGGGACGGTTTCCTTTGGGGAGAGACGGGTCCCCTCCAGCCAAGAGCCGTTTCTCCCCCAAGTGGTGGGTCTCGGAGACTTTATGCAGGCCCGTAGTTTCAGCCCGACGCTGAGTGGTGGGGCTGTTTGCCTGGGGGCTAGCCAGGCCACTCGTTTTCTGGGGGGAGAAGCCGAGCCCCCGACTCTGGGTCAGACGGTGAGCTGCGGAAAAATGAGAAAGAATAGCCAAACGAATCAGCCAGCGTGAGTTCAAGAGACTGAAGGTGACTCAAAAAATAACAGAAGACAGTTGGACATACGTATAAAATCCACAGATGGGAATAGATGTGTTGATATCTGTTTGTCTGTCTCTGTCTATTTCTATCTATCTATATCTCTCTCTATTTATCTATCTCTATCTCTCTATCTCTATCTCTCTATCTATATCTCNGTCGCGCAGGCCGAGAGGAGCCCTGCCCAAGAGAAATCCACGTGCAAAGACTTCGGCGCTCCCTCCCTCCCCGCTCACACTTTCCCACTCGCACAACCGACATTTCGCCACCAGCAACAACTGCCTTGCAGAATTGGTGGGGGTGGGTGGGGGAGTCCCTTCCCTCCAGTTCCCACAAAGGTCTACACAGCATCTCCCTTGTCAGAGACACTTAGGTGCCGCTCGGCGTCTGTGGTGCCACTCCGCCACGGCTACTTTTGCTGGGAGAGGAAAAATTCGACTCCAAATGGGACCCACTGAACTGGAGCCAAACCCCTCTCTCCAACCAGTCCTTCGGCATCCCCCCACTTCTGCCTCCCCACCCCCAATCAAGCCCACCCACCCCCATAAGGCACTCTTCCAATTCTGTGCAGCCTTGCGCGGGAACAAGGGGAGCGTGCAGAAGACGGAAGGGGCAGCTGCTCCTCTACACGACGCCCTGACCAGAACGCAACGCTCCTTTCCCAAATCCTGACTCATTCGAATGCCGACGCAGCCTCTCCGGCGGAAGGACTGGGGCAAATTCTTTGGGGGGAGGAGGGAAGAAGTAAAAAAATAAAATAAAAAATCAAGAGGGCAACCACGGGCATGCAAGCAAAGTCCCACTCCTTTTTGCTTTTGAAAACCCTGTTCCCGAAAATCGTGGCCTGCCACCTCGCTAGCATAGTAGGGACTTACGGCAAATCGGGTTAAGCCTCGCGGGGGGTTGGGGTCAGTTTTAAGTGCTGGAAAATTTATGTTTTACAGACAAAGACAAAAAGGGAGACTAGTATAGATCGATTTCAAGCTATTTAGCTCTCAGCAGCTAGCCGTTTCTGGGATTCGAACGTGGGCTGCTTGCGTATTAGGTAGGTGTATTAACCTCTAAGCCACAGGTTCTCCTTGCTTTGTCAGCTGTACCAGGGGGAAGATTATGTGCTTTTTCTATCAGGGCAACCTGGTTTTGTTGCGCCAGAGGAGCTGGCAGCAGATTCGGACAGTGAAGAGGTTGGGGAGGGACCTGGAGTCTGGGGAAGGCTCTGAGGAGGGCTCTGTGTCGGAGGCAGAGAGGGGGCCAGAGCCGTATGCCAGTTATCAGCTGCCTTCAGACATCAGTGAGGCAGAAGAACAGCTGGAGCCTGTTCCCAGTGTGGTCATGCGCAGATGAAGGGAACAGCTAAAGAACAGGGGTCGACTTGGGAGTAAGGCTGCAGGGGGATGATGAATGGCCCTTCCCAGAGGAAATAAAAGAGGAGCGACAGGGGAATGGAGTTTGCAGGAGACAATTAGTTCACTTCATTGGTTCGTGACTCTCTGAGACTCCTTGCCAAGTTCTGCAGATATTGGCCTGGCAGCTCTCCAAGCCAGAGAAGGTCTGTGACCTTAAATCCTCCCTTGAAAGACTTTGCTGGATATGAAGGAGCAGAATTCACAGTCAGTTAATAAAAGGGGTTTTTGTCGGGACAAGGAGTTGGCTTCAGGCTCTCGGGAAGCCTCGGTCAGAACAGATCTACCCAAATATGGGACAGCCAGCTGATGAGAGCTTGAAATAGATCTATGCGAGTCTCCCTTCATTTCTTTGTCAGTAAAACATAAATTTAACACAAAAAATAGTTTGTCGCGAAAGCGACTGCCTGCGAAGACTCCTGGATTGGGGCGGAAAGGTGAAAGTAGAAGCCGTATCGCCTGTCCCATATTTGGGTTGACTAGGTTGCCCTGATTTAAAAAAAAAAAGACACTTTTAGTGCTGGACTTTCTGTCCAAACGAAACAAGAACGTTGTTGGAACCCGCAGATGTGCTACACACAGTCCTCGACTTACGACCATTGAAAAAAACCCTGTTCCAAGTTACGATAGCACTGAAAATTGGGACTTACAACGGAGGCACGGCCGAATCGTGATTAAACTTCAGATGCTTGCTGTTTGCGAGGAGGGGAATTTTGAGGAAGTTAATAGGGACAGGTGGATTCGTTTAATGACTGTGGTGAAAAAGGTCGTAACATCGGACATGGCTCAGTTACCAACCGTGTCACTTAGGGATACAGGTTGCGGTTTCTATGTTGGTAAATCGAGGACTGCTTGCGCTGAGCTAAGAGGGAAACACCATGATGGCGGAACCTGGACAGTGATTGACCAAGGGAGTGAATATTAACCCTGACGCTCCCTTTAGTCTCCAGTGTTAAAGGACTTCCCCATGCAAGCCTTTCACACGTACGCACCCCCCCAACAACAACAACAACACATGCACACACGCAATCTAAGCGCCAACCTCTCGGTCCCGCAATTTAAGCTCTGCCGTCTTCCGGCCTCTCGTTCCAAAAATAAAATATAGAAGGATGAATCTCCTTTTGCAATCCAAAGCTTTCTGACCCGCCCCTCCTCCATCCCTCCCTCCATCCCCCTCTCCTCCCACCACCCAAAAATAAATCTCTCTTCTGCACAGCAGCATATGATAAAGTCACACGGGGAAAAAGGTCCACGGAAGCAGCTAGAAAGACAGGGCCGGACCATGGAAGCGGGAGCAGGGGGGGAAGGAGGAGGAGGCATAGGCGGTGCTGTCCACCGGTGCCTAGGCCCAAGTCCCCTCGTCAGCCACGCCAGACTCCACCGAACCGCCGGAACACTCCCCGAAGGACGAGGAGAAGATGTTGTGGAAGGCCGCCCATCCCCGGCGCTCGGACCGACCTCTGCCCGGACTGTCCTTGGCAGAGGCGCTTCCCGCCAGAGGCTTCTGGGCTCCGGAAGCCTTGTAGCTGAGGGGTGTAGGGATTTTCGACGGGGTCTTGTCCGGTTGGGAGTCGGCCCGGGGTTTGATTTGCGGGCGCAGCTTCAGCTTGTCGATGGAAGGCACGAGGTCGGGATTACTCAGGGACGACTGTGCCGAAGGGGATGTGTCGAGGGTCTCCAGGACATCCTGGAGGGAGGATCCCCGCTTTGTGTGGGAAGGGACCGGCTCCCCAGAGGCCCAGGGGCTATCCACCAGAGTCTCGTCCAGCTCCAGACCCTCTTGGACCTCCTGGACGTCATTCAGTCCCAGGTAGCAGTTGCTTTCATCGGATGAGCTGGAAAGGACCGGTTTCCTCCAGCGGCTCCTTCGGTCACGGTAACCGGATGAGTCCCAGAGCTCGGAAACTTCTGCCGAGCCATTGTGGAAATCCACTGGCTCGGAACTGCTGGCCGTCTGGTGGGCTGCCTTCCGCTTGGACTCCTCGGGTTGGAGACCGTACTTGCTGAAGACGTTGAGGGAGGAAGAGGAGGAGCTGGAGGAGCAGTAGGCGGAATCGGCGGTCCCTTGGTCCGGATTCGCGGGCAAGAGCCGGGCGCCATTGCAGGCCTGGCTGCCCAGGTCCAGCTCTTCGTCCATTTCCAAACCTATCATTTTAGCGTTGGCTAGGAATTCTTCCTCCAGGCGCCGGTAGAGCTGCTGCTCCTGGCTCGGGTCGAGGCGCAGCGGGGTGCGGAAAGCTTGTGCCATCACTGCCAACTCTTGCCCTAAAGGGTCGTCGGGCTGTCCGGAAGGCCCACTCTGCCCCAACTGGGGCTGCCTCGTGGCCGCACGTTGTCCGGTCAAGCAGGGCTGTCGCTGACGTCCTGGGGCCGGTGGAGGCATTCGGATGGAGGGATTGGCTATTTTGGTAGCGGGCAAGGAACCCCGGCGCTTGGTGGGGGCAGGGCTACAGGAACCCACTGGGGTCAACTGACCCCTTGCCGGGCTCTTGGTCCTGGGGGTGTTTCTTCCAGAACCCCCGGCGTTCTCCTTGGTCTCGTTGGCTCGTGTCCAGGAATGTTGTCCATCCTTGGCTCGGCTGATGAGCAACACAGGCTCCCCTCCAGGCCTTCCCTGGCTGCGGGCCCGGGGACGAGGGCTCTGCGATCCAGGCTTGTTGGGCCGGTTTGTCACGCGAGGACGGCCCCGCTCTTCTGACTCAACCTTCCTAGGCACCGCCATGGTTTTCGGCAAGCTGAGACGGTCTCGTGACTGACTCCGGCTGGTTGGCGGGCGTTTGGGCCCGACGTGGAGCTGTGAAGCAGGTCCCTCGGAGACACGCCTCCCCGCCTCCTTCCTGAGTGCCAGGCTGGCGTCCTCGCTCCGCTTCCTTCCCAAGCTGGCACTGTGCCTGGAGGAGGAGGAGGAGGAGTCGCTGTCTCCGGAAAGACGCCGGGCCCTGGGGTTCCTGCAAGAAAGAAGGGCAGCCTTTAAAAGACATTCGGCTCTCTGGGATTTACCGTATTTTTCAGAGTATAAGACAGACCAAGATTTTGAAGAGGTAAATAAAAAGGAAAGTTTTTGCACTCTGCAGGCCTCCCAAACCCTCTGCACGCCTCGTTTTTTGTGAAAAACAGGGCATGCAGAGAGTTTGAGGCATCTGCCAAGTTCTCCTGGGGCAAAAACGAGCAAAAAACGGCCCATTTTTCACGAAAATGGCTCCTTTTTTTGCAAAAAAACCCAGTGCATGCATAGCCTTTGGGAGGCTTGTAGGGTGCTCCTGAGGGCAGAGGGGGCAAAAACGAGCTTGTTTTTCATTCGTTTTTGCCCTCCCCATCCCCTAGGAGCACGTCGCAGGCCTCCCAAACCCTCTTGAGAGACCGCCTTCTGCCGATTACCTCCCACAGACCCATTCAATCCCACAGATTAGGCCTCCTCCGTATTCCATCTGCCGGCTAATGTCGGCTGGCGACTACTCGGAGGAGGGCCTTCTCTGTGGCTGCCCNGCTGGAGAGGAATTCCCTTTAACCTAAATAAAAGAGGTTTTATCGGGACGAGGAGTCGGCTTCATGATCTTGGGAAGCCTAGGTCAAAACACCCCATTGATTTAAAAAAGAAACACACACACAAACCAAGAAACATACATCATGCTGGTGCGCACAACTTTTATCTTTTCTTGAAGTTGTTCAAGCACCTAATTGTGTGCTCTGGGATGGGAAAGACTGACCCACAACGTTTACGGCTTTCCTTAATCCGATGAGGTTGGGGATGCAAAAATGGACTTGCCTGAAGCGGCTACGTTCATGAGCCGACACACCAAAGCGTGGCCGGACTGTTTGGAGACCCCCCCAAACCCGAACCTCTTTTGCGTATCCTCTCTTCCAGGACCAGCAACATCAGCAAAGCCCCCGTCATTGTCGTGGGGAACAAGCGGGACCTGCAACGGCAACGCTTCACGCCCCGCCGGACGCTCTCCCTGCTCGTGAAGAAGACCTGGAAGTGCGGCTACATGGAGTGCTCGGCCAGATACAACTGGCACATTGTCCTCCTTTTCAAAGAGCTGCTGTGCAGCACCGTGGCCCACGGGTGCAGGGGAAATCACTCCGCCGTGCGTCTCCAGGGGGCGCTGCACAGAAACAGGTGCAGCCTCATGTGAGCCGGGAGTGGAGTATGGAACGGGCTGGAGGGCGGGCAAGGTCTTGAACCTGCATCTAAAACAGGGGTGTCAAACTAAATTTTCATCGATGGCTGTGGTTGATCTCGGGGCAGAGGGGAGGGCATGGCCAACTGGGTGAATGTTGAAAACTGAGTAGGCATGGCTAGCTTGAGATCTTGAGATCTCCCCAAACTTCTGGCATGTTTCCTCTTCGCACTTGGTAGACCAGGGTTTGGCAACCTGTGGCTCCGGAGCCGCATGTGGCTCTTTCATCCCTCTGCTGTGGCTCTCTGTCGCCGGTCGGCTCCACAATTGATAGGGCTTTCGGTTAGGACAGGAAAAGGAAAAAGGATGCCATGCTAGGAGGAGACTCTATGGTGGGGGAACCAGACTTCCAGTCGGCAGAGGAAAAAGGACGCCATGCTAGTGCTAGGAGGAGACTCTATGGTGGGGGAACCAGATTTCCAATTGGCAGAGGAAAAAGGATGCCGCACTAGGAGGAGACTCTATGGTGGGGGAACCAGACTTCCAGTCGGCAGAGGAAAAAGGACGCCATGCTAGTGCTAGGAGGAGACTCTATGGTGGGGGAACCAGATTTCCAATTGGCAGAGGAAAAAGGATGCCGCACTAGGAGGAGACTCTATGGTGGGGGAACCAGACTTCCAATCGGCAGAGGAAAAGGATGCCGCACTAGGAGGAGACTCTATGGTGGGGGAACCAGACTTCCAGTCAGCAGAGGAAAAAGGATGCTGCAAT